GTCAGTATAAGACTTACCTGAGATGTGCATTAAAATTCAGCTTCCCACATTCCAGGTGGATTTGTGGTGGATTGGGGCCCGGGAATCTGCACTTTAACCCACATCCCAGGTGACCCACAGAGTATCCCGGAGACCACGCTTTGAGAAACCTTGCTGGATCGGGGCTGGTTTTCCATCTCCGGGTGACTCCTCTTTGTTCGCCTGCTCATTTCTTTTTCCAGGGGGACTCAGTAGCCATCATTAAAGAGGAAAATTTCTTGGGTTGTGTTGTTTTAAATAAGGAGATGAGGAAGTCAGCCTGCAGCCGGGGAACGTGACTGCTTGGATGTGGGCGGTGATATTTCTGCACGTCTTCTGGGAAGGCATATGCTCCTCTGGAGACTGTGAGACAGGCAGGGGAACCAGCCCCAGCTCCTCCTTGGGTGAGAGCTGGTGTCAGGTGGTCAGGTGAAGAAATGGAGCTGATTGTGGAGACCTGGGGACGGATGGGCTGGAGGTCACCTGGATTTAGATAACTGGATAGAAGTCTCTAGAAAAAAGTCAATATTTTAAAGTTTGTAATACCATTTAATTAACTGTGTGACATTAGGTGAGTTGTTAAACTCTGTAGAGTCTCAGATCCCTGAGAAAATGGGGAAACGTGAAATTGTCAGGTGCTACCAGTGCTTGGTGCACCGTGAACATTTGGTCAGTGGAAAGTCACTGTTGTGGGCACAGGTGGCCTCTGGGCACAGATGTTTCTTGATTACCTGCTGGAATAGGACTCTGAAGTGACCTAGAAACCTCTTGGTATTCCATAAGAAGTAGGATAAGTGTGGATGTGCAAACACGCCTCTATTTTGGGGGGCAGGAGATCAATAGTTTTCCTCTGAGTCTCAGAAGATGGGCACCCATATACAGTTGAACAGATTGTTTACTGAACAAGGGGACCCAGCTGAAGGAGCAAAAGGAGACTTGAAGTCAGGCTTGCACTCTAACCCAGGGAAAGAAGCTATGTTTTACAGTTTCCACGAAGTCTCTGTGCATTTGGTTAAGAATTTCTGAATTGAGGGCAATGTCTTCCTCTCTCCCTATTCCCACTACTTCCAAACTTGTTCCCTGTCGTTTGGGCCCCCAATCTTAGGACCTGTGTCTCCTCTCCTTCTAGTTCCTATTCCCATGGGAAAGAACTGACAGAATGGAAAAGGAAATGCCCCAGGACTAGGGAAGGAAGGGAAAGATTTAACTTGGAAAGAAAGTAATTAGAAGAAGAAGTTGAGAAAGACCTTAATTATTGGGTAGTAACTCACTGTATCCGCTTGATGGCTCTGGGCATCTCTCCCAGGAGGCCTGCCCTTCCGCAGCCATCAGGGGTGAAGTAATGCTGGTGGCTTGGGTTTCTTAAATGAGGATGTGCAGGTAGGGGGCCTAATCCCTGCCTTCTCCACATCTTCAAAACAATTTTTATTTTTATAAAATACACCTTACATAAAATTTATCAGTAACTTTTATATTCAGTTTTGTGCAACCATTCCCACTATCTAGTTCTAGAATATTTCTATCATCCCACAGAATAAACTCTGCATCATTCTCCCATCTTCCCAGTCCCTGGCAACCACTAGTCTGCTTTCTGTCTCTCTGCATTTGCCTGTTCCGGACATTGCACAGAAGTCCTACAATCTGTGCCCCTATGTCCAGCATACTTCACTTATCATGATGGCAAGGTCTACCCTGGCATAGTAGGTATCAGCTCTTCGTTCCTTTGGGTGACTAGGTACTTCTTTGTGTGGATATATTTCACTTATCTGGATGCTAGTGCTGTGGACATGTTTGTGCCAGTGTTTGAGTGCTGTTTTCAGATCTCTTTGCTATGGACCCACATCTCCACATCTTTTGATTCCCGATTTGTTTCAACCAACAGGAGGCATGCCTTTCTGGGAGACAGGAAAAGCTAGGGGACTGTGGCTGTGTGGGGGCTGTGGGCACAGTGGGACCACAGCTGTGCTGGAGGAGGCCGTGGAGACATCTTTGCCACGTTGGCCAATCAGGAAATAGGCCAAGTTGACCCTTCTTGGCCAAATAGGAGTGGGGTTCAAACTGGGGGTCCTGCATTTAAAAGATGGGGGAGACCTCAGAGCAGCCAAGGCACCTTCTTGGTCATCAGTGTCCTCAGTTGTAAACCAGAGTTTATTCTGAACCCACAGAGTTGGATAAATTCACCCGTCTTTCTAAAGAGAAAAGCATTATGCAACTCCAGAGAAGAGACAGGCATTGCTGTCTCTGTTTCACAGGTGGGGCACAGAAAGTCAAAGGTTCTGCTCAGCCACTCAATCAGTGCAGGTAAGCAGAGGTCTCCTCACCCACCAGCCTTCTCACCAGAACGTATTAGTCAGTATTAGTCCACGTCTTAATGTGTTAACCTCCCAGCAGGTCTGTGTTTGCCTTAATAGTGGGGTAGTCTTGGAAACAGAAACCTTGGAGAAGTGACTATTAATGTGACATTTCAGACTCGGTGATGGTGAGGTTGGGGTGGAGGCTGGGATACATGTCTCTGAACTTCACATCACATTAGGCTGGGGCTGTGTGAAGCCTGATCCTGCTTGGCATTTAGATGCCCCCCTTCTGCTGAGAACCCCATTTATTGATCACTGCTGGCGACGGGCACTCTCCTAGGTGCTGTGTTTGTTATTGCTCATTCTACAGTTCTTCCAACTGGATTCATATTATCACCCTCTGTTTTATCAATGCGGAAATAGATGCAGCTACCTGACTCATGTCCCTGAGCCATGTGGCTACTAAGTGGCCTAGAAAGATCGGAACTGGAGGCTTTTTGAGCCCAAGGCTGGAGGACTAATTTCACTGTGCTTCTGGGTTCCTTCCACCTCTGCAACCTATTTCTGGCCATGTCAATCTGACCCTTGCTTAATACCCTTTAACAATTTCCTATTTCCTCCCGGGTTATTTGGACAAATGCCAGGCTTCCCATCTTAGATGCGCTAAGGTCTTTGACTCCAGCAGAGGCCACTTAACATCTTACTTGTCTGGTTCATTCCTCGCTAAAGTGAAACTCTCATTTCCAAGGCCCCCAACTTCTCTAGTTCCTACTTTACTCCTAGCCTATCTCAGCCAAAATGTGCATCTCTGGTATGTGAGATTTTATATAACTTTGCACACACTGGGTGCATCATAAGGCAGTTTGCCTTGCATGCATTTGGCCCACCTTCCAAACTGGAGAGGCCAGAACAGAGTCTGGAGGCCAGAGAAGCATGCTCAGGTGTGTCCTGAGCCCAGTGGATGTGCTCCCCTGGAGAGAAGGTAGCCCACCTACTGTCTGTCTCACCAGCACCTGAGGCAGGTGCTGGTTCAGAGTAGGCTTACTGAATCAAAGAGGCACTACAGGTTAACAGGTGTGGGAGACAGAAGTATTCAGGGCATAGGGGAAAGCTTTTAATTAAATTGTGAAAATTCATAATGAAACAGACACCACAGCTACACAGGGCCACAGGGAAGCTGTGTTTACTCCAAGTCCCAGGAGCAGCTAGGATTGATCTGATCCCCGCTGAGGGCATGCAGGGCACCGTGGGAAGCTGAAACATGTGGTTCTGCAGCCTTCAGAAAGCATAGGAGCAGGCTGGCAGCTGCGTGTCTTCCTGTTTTCTTTCACTCTGCTGCCTTGCTTTCCCAAGCAGTGGTCATCTGTGAACCAAAATCCCCTCTATGGGCATTGCTAGGGGGCGCTGAGGTCATTTAAGAACTGATGAGTTTCAGTTTTTCTGAGCAGGGTCTAACTTTGCTAAGAAATCTGTGGCCCTCTGCCTGTGTGGCTAGAATTCTGATTTTAGTCAATTTAGTTCCTTCACATGACACAGCAATTGTGTGGGCTAATTTGGATCCTCTGTCCTTATTTCTAAATGTTCTTTAGCTAACAGTTCTTGTTTATATTGAAGATGGAAAAAATAAGTAAAAAGAAGAGAATAAAAATTGCCCAGAATCCCACTACCAGAAATCACCTCTATTTTAACATCTGTGTCTGCACCAGTTTCTGTTTTTTATATTTCTCTCTGATTGATATTTTAAAGAGGAGTACCACTGCATGGTTAAATGAATTAACAGCACATAAGTGCGTAAGATGAAAAGGAAGTCTCTATTGCAAGGTATATCCTCAGTCTCTCTGCCAGAGTGATTTGAACACTTAACGAGAAAAACCCCAGCTAGCTCTTCATTGATTCTCGGTATTGTTATAGGTTTTACATCTTGCTTTGCTGAGACTTGTATTAATTATTTCTGGTGGGTTCACACAGCAAGCCCTGAGCCTCGTCTGCTGCTGCATACAGCGGTCCCAGGGAGTTCGGCTTCAGGTTCTACACATGGAACATGCTGAGTGACAGGCCTTCCAGAATGACACACACCCTCGCCCTGCAAACACACAGCACCATGGGGGCAGTTTTCTAAGGGGCGACAAGGAGAAAGTCCAGTGTTTTTGGTTTTGTTTTAAAGATTTATTTATGCATACAACAACTGGGGTACAGGCCAGAGGTGCAGGGGGTGAGAGGATTCACCAGAGACAAAGTGGGGAGCAGAACAGGCAGACTGAAATACACTGCGTGGGGAGCAGTGGGTGAGACAGGAGAGGTCTGCTGCTGCACCATGTGGGTTGCTCCCTGGCTAGGGATTGAACTTGTGCTGCAGAGGCTGCGGATAGCTTCACAGTGCTGTGCTTAACCCCTTGTGCCACCAGGGAGGCCCAAGAAAGTCCAGCGTAAACTGGCATTTCCCTCTGCTCTCTCAGGAAAGCTGTCCCTACCGTGGTGACTCTGAAAAAACAAGTGCTCCTCATGCCTCATACTCAGGCAGTCCCCAAAATCACACATGTGTGGCCTGTGACCCCAGGGAGGTCTGTGGGCCATGCATCCTCTAGCACTGGGTTATTCCAGGCCGACTTCAGTTGCCTTTGACTTCCTGGTTGAAAAGAAGTTGCAATAGTGCCAAATGTGTGTGATCTTTTCTTTTCTCCTCTACAGAAGCCTGGGATGGTCCCCCCTCCGCCTGGAGAGGAAAGCCAGACTGTCATTCTTCCCCCTGGCTGGCAAAGCTACTTGTCTCCTCAGGGAAGGCGTTACTATGTCAACACGACCACCAATGGTGAGTGCCCCTTGGGGAGCTTGCTCATCAGCCCCCGAGTTGCTGTCTCTCTGGAAGGGCAGTTCTCTCCTCCCTCTTCGTAGACTTCTCCAGAGATCAACCTCAGAAGCTGCAATGTAGTCTGGTTCCCCCACAGAGCTAGGCAGAAGGGGTCTGAGCCGGGTTGGGGAGGCCACCGCCCTCAGGGAAGCCCATAACCACTCTAGCATCTCTGTTGAACCCGACCTTATGGTCTGGGACTGTCTTTTCAAAATTGGGATCTTAGAAGCGTCTATGGTCAACACCACCCCCCAATCCTGTTTAAGATTTAAACCAGTTGTGGTTTAAATCTGTAAAATAAAAGGTCCCCACATGATATTGCCTGTGTGGGATTTCCCTAATTTCATCACATCTCTTTCTCTTCCCACATATTGGTATTTCTTGGAATGTTCTTTGAGAAATGCTATTTAGGGTATTTATGGCTTCTTTATTCTAACTGATAACACTGGTTTCCTGTGAGTTGAGTAGGACTGCAACTCCCCGCTCCTGATTATTATGGACATCCCGGGCCTTCCCACAATTCCAGGATTCCAGGATGTAGGCTGGAGAGTGGGCTCCCAGAAGCTGGAGAAGGTCTGTACAAGGAGGTGTGGCAGGATCCATGACAAGCTGAGCAGAGCAGGGCGGCAGGCCGTGCTCTCAAGCAGGGTTAGGCAGAGCCAAGCCTCCGTGACGCCCCAAGGACATTTCCACAAGAGACAGAGGATGGAAGGTTAGACTCGGTAGGCGTCAGAAGGGTGTGGGGGCCAAGGGCAAACGTGAAATGCACCTGTTGGCTTTGCCTTGACTTCTCACTTCCCTGGCCTGTACCCAACTGACTTCTGGGCACCTCTGCCCATATGGAGAAACCGTTAATGTGACTTGTGACTATGAAGGGTCTGGGGGACAGGACAGCTGGACAGAACCAGCTGCTGTTTAGAGGGAGCCACAGAAGAGGCAGCTGCCAGCTGCCCCTGGGGCAACTGTTTGTTCTTATCCCCTGGCAACCTGGCCTCCTGCGGACTCGAGGAGCTGTTCCAGTTGAAGAGGTGACTAGGTTTTCTAGAAATAGGGAAGTAGGACTTCTCTGCCTGTTCTAATCTTAACTTCCTCAAAACCAACACACAAGCAGCTTTCCACTGTTATCAGACTTTGCAGTTTCAGAGGAAAGCATGCTTCTGTGCAGCATCCCAGCTATGAAATGCAGAAATTGGCCCATATGATCCTGAGATCATCAAGAATTTTGAAACATTCTTGTCTGAGTTAGCTGCTCTCCTGCAAAAGGGAATAAAGGTAAAAGCAACTTTCTAAAATCAGTATTTTTGTGTGTGTATATATGTACATATATACATATATGCACACATACATGTATATATACACAATATGATATAAATAATATATGTATGAATATACATGTGTGTGAAAATGTGTGAATATGTATGAATGTACATTCATACATATTCGTATACATTTTATGAGAATATATATTCTCATTTTAAAAATCCAGTGAGTGCAAAAAGTGTTTAAAATAAGAGTGAAAATCCCTGGTCCAGTTCCCCAGAGTTATTTATCAGGCATATCCTTCTAGATATCTGTATTCTCTCACATGCATACACTCATTCTTTTTAATACATTGGAAAAATACTATCCACATTGTTTTATAAATTGCTATAATAGTGACTTAAGGCATCTTTCTACACTTGCACATTTCAGTCTAACTCTTTTTTTTTTAACACAGCCATGCAGTAGTCCATTGCTAGTGTGTGCTGCCATTAATCTAACTACTCTCCTCCTTAGCATGGGGGACATAAGTCCCATTTTACATTGACAGTGTCTGGCAACTTTTTCTCTGCCATTTTTCAGCATATTCCCCTGGGTGAGGTTTGTTGTGGGTCCTGGGGGATCGAATTCCAAGACACTCTAGGCCAGGGGTCAGTAATCTTTTTCTATAAAGGACCAGGTAATAAATACTTTGGGCTTTGGCACTCATGTGGTCCCTGTCATAGCTATTCAACTCTACCACTGTCATGTGCAAACAGCCATAGACAAAACATAAATCGACTGTAGCTGTGTTTCAATAAAACTTCATTTATGGACACTGACATGAATTTCAAATCACTTTTATATGCCATGAAATAGTTGTCTTCTTTTGATTTTTTTTTTTAAATCCCTTGAAAGTGTAAAAGAGGATTTTTAGTTCAGGAATTGATGGGAAGCAGCCAGGATATGGGGCACAGGTCCTAGTTGGCTGCCAGCCCTGCTCCAGGCTGTCTGTTGCCTCCAGTGGGTCTGGTCCTGCTTCCGCTCCATCTCTGTTGTGCCTGTGGGAACCCTGGCTCCTTGGTCTTGTGTTCTACACACATGTCAGTTTTTTTCTTCATTGGGTATCTGTCTGATTGATTGACTCATTCATTCAACAGACACTTGTTGGGCCTTAAATATTAATATGTTCCCAGCAGTGTTGTATGCTGCAAATAGAATAATTTGTAAAAAGCAGTCCCTGCCCTTCCAAGTGCTTATGTATTGAATATGTATTTAATTGCAATCATGAGCAGGGTGCGAAGGAGAAGTCCAGGGTGTGAAGCGAGCATGCCCCAGGGAGACGTTGGGAGGTCAGGGAAAGCTTCCTGGAGGAGGAGGTAGTCTTCAACTGAGATGGGGAGGATGAGAAAAGGGCTGGGGGAGAGTAAATGGCTTTCCAGATGTCAAAGAGTTAATCATGTTTGGAGGGACTGTGCAGACCCTGAACATCACATTAAAGATTTTGCTCTTTAGTCTAAGGGAGTGGATAGCCTTGCTGTCTTTCTGATTCTCCTCTGGAATCTTTTCTTAGACTGGTTGTGTTTAGCTGCTGGGATGCCTTTTAAATTTTTGAACCTGGCTCCCCTGTCAGAATAGTCACTTATTCTTCTCAAAGCCATGCATATCTGACCGGACTCCCAGAGAGAGACCTCTGAGCTGTGTGGGGACAGCTCCATCCACATCTGTCCCAACTCTTGAGTCTCATGCACCAGAGCTGTGCTGAGGAAATGGAGCCCCTGCTTCCGGTTTTCACAGGCCATTCCCCGCTTCCTCCTTGCTTTCTTCCAAGTATTTCTCATCTCCCTTTAATCCCCTGTCTCTTCTTTCACAGAAGACTCTGGGGGTACAAAAGAGATGCTGTCCCTGTTTTGTACCACATACAAATATAACTAGTTTAAAACCCAGTTTACATTTGCATTGCCTTGCTCTGGCTAATCTGCTTATTTTCAGATCCATTTAGGATTTGACAGCCGGGGATATCACAGTGCTTGCCACTGGAGTGGGCTGTAGGGATACAAAATCCAACAAGAGACTGTCTCCACCTTCAGAGGCTGTAGTTCTAGTGGAGTCAGAGAAACATAGTAACCAATATGCATTGTAGATATTATCTGGGTCTCAATCTAGTCCCTTGACTGGGACATCCCCCTGGGAGGCCTTAGCTTATAGTTCCTTGGGGAACATTCAGGGAGACACAGCTTCCCTGTGTTTGGAGGGATGTGTCTGTGACTTCGGAGACATCTGGACTAAAGATGGGAAACTGGGGAGATGGGTGGATGGGTGGATGCCCACTTGGCAAGCAGAGAACAGAATGGATTTCACTCCTCTTCTGTCTCCTTGACCTGGTAACGTCATGCAGTAGCCAACCTGCACAACCTCAGTAGGCTGTGCAGAATCCTAGGGCAAGCCTCTAGGAGAGAGCCTTGCAGAGTAACATTTAAGAGAGAAGTGATGGAAGCTTTGTAAGAATTGTTGAGATACAAGGAATCCAGAAAAAATAAATAAATGTCATGAAAGATTGTCAAAAAGGGGAAACAGAGACAGACTGCAATATAGATCATGTTTATGATAAGTAATATTTTAAACCACTGGGAAAAACACAGATTATTTAAGAAATGAGTGGTATTGGGCCGGATGGCTAACAGAATATTCTAGTGAGTAAGTTAAAGCAGTAATGCCACTGTTTTTGTGTAAACTCAGGAAGGGAATGCTTTATGACTGTGAGTAGTCCCATGTCTCCTTAGCTCCCTATAGTTTATGGCTCGCCAGGTGTTTCATCATACCGGCTGGACCAGGAGCTCCAGCCATTCTGATATCAGAAAATTACTTGTCTGTGTCACAGAAAGTGCTCCATTCCCACCAAAAGTAGACTCTACTGTCAAAATTTGAGGCAATGTTTAGTTCCTGGATATTAAGCTGTTATCAAAATCCTGTCCTGTCCAGAGACCTGAGCTGGTAATTAATAGGGAGCTCTTTTTTGCACAACAGGTACTTGGATTTCAAGAGCTATATCGACACAATATTGTTTGTCCCATTTATGATCGGGAAGGCCAGACTGAATCACTTAAACCTTGCTCTTTTGTTTATGTATTGTCTAAGGTTGCTTTTGCACTCCATGGCCGAGTGGAGTGGGATAGAGACCATGAGGCTCATCAAGCCAAAAATACTTACTCTGGCCCTTAAAGACAAAGTTTGATGGTCCTTGGTTTAACAAGTAGAGCCCATTTATTTCACACATGAGGAAATGGAGGCACCAACATGGAAAAGAAATATGCCCTAAGTTAGCAAGCCACTCATGTGCCAGACTATGCCTGCCTCCCTAATCTTCTAACCTTTTCTTTTTGCCTCATATCCAGAAAGATAGGCATGGGGGCAGGAGGTGACTAAATTTAGAATCAGGATAACTGAGTTATCAGATTAGTAGAAAAAATAGTTTGAAATAACATTTTTAAAGGAAAAGAGCTATCTTGTTTGAGTGTCAGCTGAAACCCAGAAGGTCCGGGAGTTGTTTTTTAAGCTCTTTGATACAGAATCCATAAGTATAAATGTTTTATTAGTTTGTGTGTGAAGCTTGGAGGATTAAACCAGGATTTGAGCTTTTGGATTCATTTGCCAAATAGTCAGTAGTTTTCTTGATTTCTTGTTTTAATTTTTCTTTAAATGAGTGGATTCCCATTTAACTT